TTCAAATTTTGTTCTATAAAATTCAAACCTGCCACTCGGACAATTCATCGGTGATGGCATTTTCTTCGCGAACAGTGTCACACTGCAACTCGCTAACACGGCGGAACTGGCCAGGAGAGAGGTCGCCGAGGTCGCCGGTGCGGAGGCCGCGGAGGATGTCGACGACGTGGGACTCGAACCGGATGCTGGATTCGGTGTAGATGAGGTGGAAGGCGGTGGTGGGCCTCCAGCCGGCGATCCAGTGGAGGCTCCGCTCGAGTGAGGTGGACCAGGGTGCGGCGAAGAGGGAGAAGACGTCGTGCTTGGAGGAGAGGGACTTGACTCGGTAGTACTCGGCGTAGTGGGACGTGACCATGTGGACTAGTTGGTGGAGGATGTGGTGGTCTTCTTCTGTGGTTGGAGGTCTTGGGGCTTGGGTTAGCTGGTCCACCAGGCGCCGGAGATGGTCGAACCATGTTTGGTAGAACCGGTGGAAGCTCATTTAGTGTGAACTCCAGAGACAGAGAGAGAGAGATCTGGGGTTGGGGTTGGGGTTGGTTTTTAGATGGGGCGGTTTGTAAAACGGCCGAGGCTGAGGCGTGCTCAGAGACAGGCGCGTGCATACTAGTTGGGAGAACGTGAGTGGACACTTCAGTTTCTTTCCTATTGTAAACGTGCAGTGAATGGATAATTATTTAGTAATTCCGAAATATAAATATATGATATTTTATAATATTATGATTGGTGAAAAAAATAAATATATGGAGTATTGTGCTGGGTGATTAAGAAATATGAGAAAGCATATTAAATGACGATTGGATAAATAGTACAGACAAACAATGATTGAAACCTTCACCCCACAAGACCCTCACAATTTTGGACCACTCATGATACACATATATGAGTGAGCCTCACACATATATGGAGGGTCAGGTTTACTTTGGGAGTGTGAGAGTTATCCCAAAAGGGGATCTCAAATATTTTCCTAGTACGGACACATGATATTTCGAAAGAAAAATAGTTGAGAGCACTAAAAGTGATGCTCTAATAGCACCACTAATGATGTGGCAGTAGGCGGCCCACTGCCTATGCCTTTTTTTTTTTGTTTTGTATTCCCAATACATCAGTGTTATTAGTGATCTTTTTTTTTAGTGGTATGAATCATTGTTGATTTCGAAAAGATTCTATAATTTCCCCTCAATGACAAATCACACGATGAATAATATATATATATATATATATATATTTTGGAACAAATTGAAGGAAAATGATTGATTAATAAAATTTGTGGAAGGTTCCTTATGGTCATATTTATATTATGTTATGTTTTATTTATTTCTTTATCTATATATTTATATAATAAATGTTATTTTATGTGTTGATTTAGCATATTTGAAAAACAAAAATGCTCCGTAGCTCGAATAACTGAGGCTCGAATGGCCCGATTTCACCTCTCATCTCTCTCTGAGATCCTCTCTCTCTCTAGCCAGCTCTCATCACTCTCACCTCTCATCCCTCTCTCTGATCCTCTCTCTCTCTCTGGCCCAATCTCACCTCTCATCACTCTCACCTCTCATCCTTCTCTTTGATTCGATTTCATCAGAGAGGAAAAGCGATCTATGGCTGTGAGGAACCACGATCTATGGTTATGTCAACAGATTTGGATTTTGATTTTAGATTTGGGTTTTGACTTTAGATTTTGGGTTTAATTGAGAGAAAAAGATGAGTTTGCTTTATATGGTGGCTATAATTAAGAATTAGGTTTAATGATGTGGGATTGCTCTGTACAAATTCTTCCAGAATCTTCTTCGTTCCAGAAATCTCTTTTGCGCTCCAAGCTTGATTGCAGAATTCTATGTCCCTTCTCGCCTTCTATTCAACATCTATTTTGTCTTTTCACAAATCCTAGACATTGGAAGCTTCTGTGCATTAAGAAGGTATAAACCTTTGTCTTCAACATTTATATATATATATGTATATGTATATGTATATGTATATGTACATGCAGCAATTATTTCATGGAAGTTTGAATTTTTGTTTGATTTTGTCTGATTTGGTTTTCGATTTTGATTTTGATTTGTGGTTGTGGGTTTGGTGTAAAATTCCCATCTCTCTTTCTCAGCTTTTTTTTGTTCTGCTTCATTCAACAGTCTAGAAAGAAGGGAAAAAACAGAGGAAGAGGAAAGAGGAAGAATGAAGGAACGAAGGAAAGAAGGAAAACATAAAAAAAAAAAAAAAAAAAAAAAAAAAGAGGGGCCAAAGAGGTGCCAAAATGACGTCGTTTTGGCACCTCGAGCCATTCGGGCCTCGGATGATTCAAGCTACATAGCGGGGTTGTTTGAAAAAATGATAAAAAGTAAAAAATTTTGATAAAATATTATTTAGAGTAGTGTAACAGTGGTTATTAAGTTAGCTGTGTTTCGAATATGATACTTTTTTTATTGCATGCCGCATAGTTAATAAGAAAATTTTATATAATTTGTTTATTTATATGAAATTTTTCTTTCAAAAATTATATTTATTATTATTATTATTATTATAATTGTCAAAAATCACAAGTTAAGGGTAGAGTATTTATCCAGCATCGGACCGGTATCAAACTTCATTGTGTTTCTTATTGATCTCGGAATTTGACTTGTCCAATCTCATAATAAAACTGAGACAAGTAGAGCTTTTTCCCAATAATAGTAAAATAGCAATAAAAAATGAGTTGCAACTTTTTGCCTATTAATCGATGACTTGAATGCACATTACCTTTGTTTGATTCATACATTGTACAGTTACAAACGCCTTTTTTTTTTTATCATAACTTAAAAAAATTAAAAAGTTAAAATGTCACTATTCTATTTAAATTATATCATCTTATTTAAGTCACATCATTTCTCTATCACATAACTTCAAACTCAACTCATATCCAACTCATATTTTATAAAAAGTCAAAAAATACACTTATTTAAATCATTCCAAACCATCCCAAAATTATATATCCAGGTTAGTCTGTGATGAACCCCAAAGTCCAGCAATATTTTCAAGAAAATCTCCTCCAATAAAGGATGACTTATCCCAAAAATAAATAAATTAGGGGATCGTTTTTTTAAAGATTTATGGTATTAAAATTTTATAACATAAAGGACATTTAATATTTTTATAATGTCTGAGGTCCCTCAACATCGATTTAGAAAAAATTCGATCCAGATAATTTCTCTAGACTTCCCAGAGAATTTCTTCCCAGAGAATTTCTTTTTAGAGAAATTCTGGGAAGGCCAGAGAATTTCTCTAGATACCAATCTACAGATTTTCTCTGGATTTTCAGAGAATTTCTTTGGTTTTCGCAATAATTTCTCTAGGTTCAAACTAGAAAATTTCTCTATCTTCTTAATCACGATGTGCAATACACAAATCGATCACCCAAATAAACAACAACCAATATACATATATATATATATATATGTATAGAGAGAGAGAGAGAGAGAGAGAGAGAGAGAGAGAGAGAGAGAGAGACTCATCGAAAGGAAAATTTTTCTAGATTTCCGAAGAACATTGTGTTTGTGTGTTCATGTTTGAAATTTCTCTTGACACATCAGAATCCCCTTAGAATTTCTCTGGGTGTGTTTGTGTGTTCATGTTTACAATTTCTTCGGGCATTTTCACTGAAATTTCTCTAGACACATCACAATCCCACAATGTTTGAGAAAATTTACATAGTGACCATAGCCAGAGAAGATTCATACAGTGACCACAGCTCAAGAAAACTTACAAAATTACAAACAGTGACCACAACTAGAGAAAATTCACACAGTTCCCACATTTAGAGAAAATTTACACAGTCAAGAGAAAATTTTCTTTGGTTTGCTCACAAATTTCTCTGTGATTTGCTTATAATTTTCTATATGTTTTGATCAATTTTCATTGATTTAATTCTAATTTTCTCTGGTTTGCATGTCTATAATTTTATTAAAAAGTAGTGCACAAAATGTATTTGATGCATTGAATAAGAACTTCAGAGAAAATTGAAATTTCTATGAGTCCAAACCAAAGAAATCTAGAGAAAATTAAAATTTCTCTGGTTTTGTTCACAAATTTCTTTGACTTTATTCGCAGACAATTGACATGCTATGTACTTTCCTTAACATTTTGCAAGGCCCAAGATCCCAACTTCTTGGTTTTCTTCGCGTACCTCTTTTCAGCAACCCTAATGGCATCTATAGAATTTTGTTGTGTACTTTGTTTGTACTTGGAAATCTCTTCCAATGAAAGCCCCTCTCTTTCATCTTTCTCTTTCTCTTTCTCTTTTTTGCTCTCAGCTTTAGCTTCTTTTTCAGCAACCATGTTTGCCTTCCTTGCTTTATCAGAGGGCTATGACGGTTGAATGATGGAGGTTTCAGATCTCTAAGAGCCGCTAACTCCGTCGTCGCCATTCAAGACTTTCTGCACGAACTCCTATTCGATTCGATCCCTATAAATGGGGTCGTCGAGGACTTGGTCTATGAGCACAGCCCCCTCTTACAAGTCGCAAGGTTGGAGATGGTTGGAGACCCATTTGTGATAGGTCCAAGGAAGGGTCTTTAGCATTTTCCCTTTGTATCTCCTAAAACCTATAACTCGGTCTTGCGCTGGGAGATCTCTTGTTGTGGCTGAGATTCTTGTTGTGATGATCTTGATGAGATTGGGGATTTTGGTTTTGATAGAGCGTTAGAATGCAAATGTTGTTGTTGGGGTATAAAGAAGAGAGAGAGATTGAGAAGCGGTTGCAGTAGTACTATTACACTGCAGGAACAAAAGTTTCATGGTGATGAAAAAGAGTGAGTGTGATATATGGAGGTGAGTGAGGGACTTTAGACATCACATAATAATGTAGTGGATCTCTCTCATTACTAAAAACGGGAGAGAAGCCTTAGACTAATTTTCTCAAAAAATTATGCGTATCATTTTTGTTTTATTTACTTTTTAATTTTTCCAATCGGTAGAAGAGAATTAAAAAAAGTGAAATCAAAATCCTCTGTAAAATATAAGATGGACTTAATTTTAACAAATATCAAAACATCTTAAAGTGAAGATTTAGAACAGTCTCAAATTCTATATGTACTACCTACTAACCATTGATTTGGATGCAATTGACTGAACTAAATTTAGGAGACAAACCTGTAACAACCCCGACCTCTGATTAACGTTAATCTATAATTAATTATGCCTAATTAGTAAGTAAGGTAAAATCCTGAATTAAGTTGCATGTGTGTGTCACATTATTTGTAACTATATCTGTTTAACTTAGAAAGATCTATTCATGTTGTATTCGGTTTGCGAATTGAAGGCCTTGTCGGTATCTGATTCGAAAATTGATTTGATTTATGTGCTATTTGGAATTTTTAGAACATTATGGTAGGCTCAATTGAAATTCGAATTGCAACGATTTAAATAGATTAATTTGAAGCCTATGGGTTTAATATTAATCACCTATCTTTATGCAAGCCCATATAAGCACCTTTTGGCCTCTACTCATCT